CACATGGTCAGTTATATGTTGCTTTCTCTCGAGTTTGAAGAGCATGTGATGTTACAGTTAAAGTTCTAAGTACTTCATCACAAGGGAAATTAGTCAAGCACTCTGAAAGTGTTTTCACTCTTTTTTTTTTTTTAAATATATTTTATTGATTTTCCACAGAGAGGAAGGGAGAGAGATAGAGAGTTAGAAACATCGATGAGAGAGAAACATCGATCAGCTGCCTCCTGCACATCCCCCACTGGGGATATGCCCGCAACCCAGGTACATGCCCCTGACCGGAATCGAACCTGGGACCCCTCAGTCCGCAGGCCGACGCTCTATCCACTGAGCCAAACCGGTTTCGGCGAGTGTTTTCACTCTTAATGTGGTGTACAGGGAGATATTAGAATAAGTTTAATCACTTTATCAGTCATTGTTGGCATCACTGTTGTTTTCATATCATGTTTTTATTGTTTTCATATTATGTTTTTGTCGTTTTTATATCATGCCTCTGTTGTTGTTATATCCTTTTGTTACTGTTTATTTATTAATAAATTTATATATTATTTTCATATACATTTTACTAATTTCCTTTCATCTCTCACACTGCTATTATAGAGAAAGGGCAAATAGCAATATTAAAATATCTCTGCTAATTAATTCCCTTTTAAAAAAAATATATTTTATTGATTTTTTTACAGAGAGGAAGGGAGAGGGATAGAGAGTTAGAAACATCGATGAGAGAGAAACATCAATCAGCTGCCTCCTGCACACTCCCCACTGGGGATGTGCCCGCAACCAAGGTACATGTCCTTGACCAGAACCGAACCTGGGACCCTTGAGTCCGCAGGCCGATGCTTTATCCACTGAGCCAAACCGGTTAGGGCAATTAATTCCCTTTTAATGTGCACGAATTTCATGCACCGGGCTACTAGTATATACACACACACACACACACACACACACACACACATACACACACACACACAAACAAACCAATGGGAAAAATATCCTCAGGTGAGGATTAAAAAAAAAGAAAAAAAGGACAAAAGTTTCTGTAAGCATTTTGCCTGAAATTGTATTAATTTGGGGGAAGATCACTTTACAATATTGGGTTTTTTCATCTATAAAAATTTATATCCCTCCATCTTTTATGTCCTTCAATAAAGCTTTTATAATGTTCCCCATATTGAATACCCTATGGTTGAACTGCTATTTATCTTGTATTCTGCAACTTAAAAAAAAATTCATATTAACCCTAATAAATTATCTGTAGTAGCTACTCTACACAATTTTGTTTCTTCCTTTCTACTTTTTTTGTAGTTTTAATCTTATTACTGTGGCTAGGACTCCAGAATAATGTTGACTAGAAGTGGTGAGAGTACAGATCTTTATCTTTTGCCCGAATTTAAAGGCTTCCAAATGTCTCATTTGGAAGCTGATGTTTACTGCAGATTTCTGTTGGCTTTCCTTTTCAAAATGGACACAATAGTTAATACTATTAAATATATGTGGGCTCGGCTGAAAAGTCAATAGTAACCAAACTCCTCCAGACTTTATAAATCACTGCTTCCTTTTTATTCTGTGGCTGGACTTAGTCTTCTATTCAAAGCTGTGCACCTTGTGCAGTGCACAGAATGACTGCCAATTCCCATTTCACTTCTTAAGATCATTTATGTCATCACTGTTATAATTTCATTTGAAGTTTTTCTACAGCCTCTGATGATGTTTCTTTGGCTGTGCCTGCTCATAGTTGCCAGGATTGGATTATTACTTCAAAGGAGGCCGATTTCCATGCTCAGCCACGAGGACACACGACAGATGCAACGGTGGTTGGTTGCTCCCACAGAAACATGACAAAAGAGGTTACCCCAACACTACCAGGTCAAAAAATTTCTATTTAGGTTTTCCACCCACCTCCAGCTCCTAACCCACTGTTTTGGGGACTGTTATATAAATAGTATAATCCTATTGAAAGCTCACACACCACCTTATTCCCTCAGACCACGTGAGTCCTGAGGCTGGATATATTCTTCTTCATTTCCAATTAGCAATATTCCCAAAACACATATTTGCAACAAAGCTGAAGGCTGTCAGAGGTTTGAAAATACCTGTTCTAATGGTTTATTTACGAGCTAACTGAGTCTAAAATAAGTGATCTGCCCAAGGTCACCTTAGTGAGAAGCACAATAATAAACTATGCTCCCAGCTTTCTTCACTGTAAAATGACACACCCATGGACCTCGGAATCTCGCATGTCTGCACGACTAGCAATCAGCCTGGAGCAGTGTTGCTGCAAACACACTGATCTTGTTTAAAGATTAAATCTTCAGACTCCTCGCTACTATACCATTACGACACTTACATTAAGTCACAGCATGTCGGGGAATGCCAGCTATACACAGGCAACACCCTCAGAATTCTATTTTAATAAAAGCAAAATCAAAGGCTCAGTTCATATATATGTAAAGTCAACTCAATTGGACAGACATATTTCCTAGAATGAATCTACAATCACAGTAGACTGTGGCATAGAAGTGGTATTAACAAATACAGGGGAAAAGGTGTGTCAACCCCTAGGGGAGAGCATGGTAGGAGGAGAGGGGATGCGGAAGGACTCAGAGGGGCAGGTTAGGCTGAGTGTACTTGTGTTTTCCAGGGAAAGGTAGCGCGGAATCCAGAGAAAGTGAGCAGGACCCCGGGGTGTGGGAGAAGTCTCTGTGGAGAGAGCTGTCCCAGGTAAGCGCATCTCAAGACATCTACCTCATGGTACTCAATCTATGCTCAATAAAGAACCTTCTGATGACTAATTCAGTTTCTGTGTTCTTCAGAGAGACAGCAAAATGCTCCAGACGAAATTCTTAAGCATTCCCATCATTGGAATCCACCGGATACAAATTACCAGCTGACCTTGTGGTTTACACACCAGTCTCCAGGTCTGATCAACTCGGGCCCGGGCCTCCAGGGTGAGGCATGGTTGACCCCATCAAGGAAACGCTACCTGCTGAGGCCTCCTCCTAGTTCCTCTGTGGGTCTTTGCTGGGATGCCAAACCCACCTCATATTACTTCCATTTTCCACACCAGACCTACTGCCTAAGCACATTTCAACAAAACTTTTCAAAGATTTAAAACATGCCATGCAAAGGCATTAAGAAAATGAATGTGCTGTCCTTAAATAAACTGAGTATACTCTTTCATCAGCTCTTGGAGTGAAAAGGCTATAGCTCTCAAATCCTTCCCAGGAGGCACCTTCGCCTACCCTGCCCATATCCCCCTGAGCCAAAACGGGGACGTGCAACCGCACAACTTACATAAAAACAGTTCTCTATTTTCACTACTAACTTAAATTATTCATTTTTCTTCAGGGATGTAAAACAACTCTAACTGTTCAAAGAAAAACAGTAATACTCATTAATTTTGACTGTTTCTAAATGCCCTCCTTAGAAATTAGTTGGCTTAGCTCACTGAATTAGCCCTACAAAATCCTTTCAGGATGGTACTCTCTTATTAGACCTACATACTTTGCTTTTAGAGTTAATACCCAATAAATACCTATCTGATGGTTTGACCACTAAAAATTACTAAGAAAATTCCTTTCCCAGGACGTGTGGACTACTTTGCAATGCCTTTTCAATAATGGGAAAGAGTTACCAGCCCACATTCTTTTTTTTAAAAATATATTTTATTGATTTTTTACAGAGAGAAAAGGAGAGGGATACAGAGTTAGAAACATCGATGAGCGAGAAACATCGATCAGCTGCCTCCTGCATGCCCCCCACTGGGGATGTGCCCACAGCCAAGGTACATGCCCTTGACCGGAATTGAACCTGGGACCCTTGAGTCTGCAGGCCGACGCTCTATCCACTGAGCCAAACAGGTTAGGGCCCACATTCTTTTTTCTACCAGTTTTCCTCCTGCAGACAGGAAGCATCAGTAGCCACTTAATCTTTCCAAGTTGGTGTCTAAGGGGCCACTGAGAGAGACCAAGGATTCTATTTCTATTGTTGGTTTGCAGCCAAGACTCTATTCTTAGCCTGATACCAAGAATACTCTATCCAGGAATGCCTTGTGAAATAAGACTATACTGCTTAGCCTGGGACCAGACCCTGAGCATGGCCGTCATCCCTGAAGTCAGTTCCGGCTGAAGGTCTGATGGCTCCTGCTGCTGCGCAAGGCTTTGAGTCATCTCTCTGTTAATCTCTCTTGGACCAAATGCTCCCAGGGAATCACCATGACTAGACACTGTGAAGATATTCCAGATCCTCACATTTCCTTTGCATAGACCCTACTAACTAGGAGGCCAGAACTGACATCCCAGTTGTGGTCCTGTTTTTCTCATGTTTAAAATTCTGAGTAAATATGATAGGAGGCAGAAACCCTTGCTCCATAAATGTGGGCCTCCAAGGTGACCTAGATAATTCTGCACACACCGCGCAGGAAAGCCCTATTTTCCCCCAAACAAGGTTTGAAATCAATACCAGTAATGGGCCATGCCCTACAGTAACATTGTAAACCGGAATAGCAGAAAAATGATGTGATTTATGTAATAATAAAAAGATCAATTATTTTTTTCAGTAGCTATAACAATTAAAACCATGATACCAATAGCTAACATTTATCAAGTGCTCACCACGTGCTGGGTATTTTACAAGCACCATCTTATTTAATATCCCAGTGTCCTTATAAAGTTATTGCCTTTTACAGGTGCGAAGACTAAATAACTTTGTCAATGTCACCCAAACTGGTTAAAGTATCAAACTGGGATTTAAACCTAAGCCTATGTTACTCTAGTTCCTGAGTTTAACATTCCTGTTCACAAAAAAAGAAAAAGAAAAGAAAAGGAACATGTCAATGTTACATTTTGGTTGGATTTCATGAGTGAATCTTGATTTTTATAATCCACAATTAAATTATTCAACTTTCTATATTTGCCCATCTATTGTTTTTTCTCATTCTCATTCATGGTAATTAAACTGAACAAGAAAAGGTCTTATAATTATGCATTCAGCTAAGTACTTACATAGTCAATGGGCTTGAGGGACTTGACTTCAGATGTCGGGCAGCCACAAGAAGTAAGGTCAGCATAGAGGCCTTCTTCTAACACACACTGGTTATCAGATATGTCCTCTTGGTAATACAGGAGCCAGCTGCAAACACAAGCCGTGAGACAGTCCATCAGACTGCATCAGCCTCCAGTGTCGGCTCATCATTGCGCTGTGTATGTCCACTGGGGCAGGGGCATGGCATTGAAGTCATGGTGCTGACCCGCAGCAAATGCCCATCACCACTTTAAAAAACACAGCTACCACTATCATTTACTGCTTACCATGTGCTAGACATAGGCTAGTACCATATATATATATATCTATATATCTATATATATATAGATATATAGATATATATATATATATACACACATACTATATAATAAAAGGCTAATATGCAAATAGATCAGTTGCTATGACACACACTGACCACCAGGGGGCAGATGCTCAATGCAGGAGCTGCCCCCTGGTGGTCAGTGTGCTCCCACAGGGGGAGTACCGCTCTGCCAGAAGCCGGGCTCATGGCTGGTAAGTGCAGGGTGGTGGCGGGAGCCTCTCCCACCTCTGTGGCAGCGCTAAGGATGTCGGACTGACGGCTTAGGCCCACTTCCCACAGGCCTAAGCTGTCAGTTGGACATCCCCGGAGGGCTCCTGGACTGCCAGAGGGTGCAGGCTGGGCTGAGGGATGTCCCCCACCCCACCGAGTGCATGAATTTTGTGCACCGGGCCTCTAGTGTGAATGTATGTGTGTGTGTGTGTGTGTGTGTGTATTAGAGACCCGGGGCACAAAAATTTGTGCACTTGAGGGGGGGGGTCCCTCAGCCCGGCCTGTGCCCTCTCGCAGTCTGGACCCC